GATTTTACCGAAATAATCCTGATTGAAATTGGCCTGTTTAGTGTACCTATATGTTCTCCAGTCCACAGAGCCTTGTAGAGATACAGCATGCACCAGTAGCTTCCTAGGATTACTGACCTTCATCCATTTAAACAGGTGATGCATGCGAAGCTGGAATTATTATGTATTTTCMRTGCATTCTTTCGATCACAGCCTTAATTGTTTTGAAACCAAAAAGTTCAAATGCTGTGCCAATTATCACATTTTAATGAGACTCTCGTCACTGGCAGAACTCCATCGATAACATTTTGAGATTATAAAACGATCCTTGTGATGTATTATCACGATAATACCATGATCACCTCGGATTCCATTGTCTTCCGAGGGGTTTACAAACCCGAATTTCCCTACTGAATAACATGAGGGAAATTTAGAAGACAAAGGATTCTTTTAAAATAATACTAAAGACAATACTAAATTTCCCTTGCATAAATTAAATAGAAGGAAATTCAGTAAAAGACAAAAGAATCCTATGTCTTCTGAATTTCCCTCGTGTTATTCATGAGGAAAATTGGGGTTCCTTTGCCTTCTATACTTCCCTAATGCAGTGAACAATGCAAATATAGTAGACTAGATACCCCTCAAAAGAGATCGTACTGAAAACAAGTCTCCTACACGATCTGGCACTAGCATGTCTTACATGTGGGACATTGTTTACCTAACTGCGCATGCCTGTAAACTTAGTTAAAAAAACGAAAATGCCTATSGCAGATTTATGCGCAGTCACATAAAAAATATTATAAAAAATCACTTGTTTAAAATCATTTGTTATAGCACTACATTGCACTTACACTTTTGCCAACTCGAAATGAAGCATCGAAAGAAATAGCGTTTATTACAGCAAAACTGATATAATGAATCTTAATTTATTGAGCTTCGTGGTCTGTTCTAAACGAAAACSTCTCAGCCATGTTGTTTGTGCATTGTATACGAGTTTTAATTCTGCGATATAAATATTATCTTTGGTACCCTAATGGACTACAAAACAAGTGATGAAATAGTACTAACGAACCTGAATCGATTACACAATGGAAGACAAAGTAACGTATTTGAAAACTATTGTTTGATTACATCAATATCAAGCCTAGGTGTACAACACGCTAATAAGCTAGTTATGCATTTTGGCGTTGTTTACGCTTCCTTTACTAGAAAACTGAACATGATATCAAAGATGTTTCCTTACTTCCTCGTCGATCATAGTATTACAAAGTAATGCCATTCCACTCGTGAAATTAGTKRTTAAATTTCCCCGATACCCTAATCACTAATTTCCCTCGTTCCATGGTATTACTTATAATTAATTAGAATTGCACATAATCAAACTGATTGCGCACACCTTGACTTCCATCGTCGTAAAGTATTATAATCACCGATACAAGTGATGCTAGACCAGCCATAATTTCACACCCAGCAGTTGTTTTCTTTCGTCCAAATCTAAAAGATGAATTCACAAACTGTAATATTACTATTATGAAATTTGACTTTGCAGGTAAGTAGTTACTACAGTACATATAATTGTAAATATACTATATATATCTATAATATGGTTTACCTCGTGTGGACATATATGGACATCATTGTGCCCAATGTTTCTCCAGCTCCTGACAAAAACCAGTTCAAGTACATATTCCCTCCAAGATTGGGAGCAGTGAAGTGTAGACCGTTATATATCATAGCACCTACCAAACTTTGAAAATAAGTCCATCAATATATAGCGATTGTTTTTTTATAACATTTCTTTCTTTACGCAGCCGTTGGTTACATATAATTAATGGCTTCTTGTTTATTTATTGTAAAAAGCACAAGTGCTGTGTTATAAATGGCTTCTTTATTTATTGTAAAAAGCACAAGTGCTGTGTTGGCTCGTTTTCATGATCATGCCACACGCCGAGTGCGCATAATATCTAAATTCATTATATATCATTATAAATGTTTATGGCACCTGTTATACCAAAGAACCAAGGTGGATACTAGATATTTTTTGCTGAACAGAACTCTAACATCTCCAAGAGATTTTTCTTCCTTTTCGTAGCTGGGTAGATTGATTTCATCGCCACGAACGTCTCTACCGTTGACATTGGCGATACGTTGTAAAGTCTGACGAGCTTCTTGTATTTTTCCCTTGACGATGAGCCATCGAAGAGATTCTGGCACTAAACTTTAAAGGAAATGTGATGTTTCAGATCGCTATACTGCAACTAATATAGTACAGCCCGTACTTAAGCCTATAGCGTACAAGAGCGT